GAGACTCGATCGTGCTGGCGGGGCTCGGCAGCGCCATCGTCTGGCTCAACGTGTGCGACAGAGAAGGCTGCAATATAACAAATACCTCTTTAACTGTTTACGTACATATAAACTATATTATTGACTTTTATTAAAGGCTTAAAACAGACAGTCGATCATACTAATATTAAAAATGCAAAAGGCCTCCAAAACGGATTAACAGATTTCGATGAAATTCGACACAGATGTAGAACTTTGTCTGAAAGAATACATAGACTTATTAAGATATTTTTTATTTCCAAGGACGAAGTCCGAGACTAAATTTAGTGAGCAACATAATATACTAGCTTTCACCCGAGACTCCTCTGCGCGGAATAAAAATATTAAAAGTGGCCTATGTGTCTTTCCAGACTCTACATCTATACCAAATTTCATCAAAATCCGTTCAGCTGTTTAGGCTACAACTCAAAAAAACATCCATCCATCTAAATTTTTGCATTTACAATGTTAAGGCCTGTCCCACCACTGGCTGTTAGATAAGGTAACAAATTCCCATACTTTCTTACATATTTTACATGTTGAATTGTTAACAGACAATTTAGAAGAATTTGGTAGGACTGACTTTTAAGGACTGTCCTATCTAAACCTCTATCAGCCAGTAGTGGGACAGGCCTTAAGTGTGAAGTATAATGCGATTCCATACCAGCAGGTCGTCGAGCTGCGGCTTGTCGGGGCGGCGCGGGGGGTAGATGGGGTCATCTCCGGCCGTGCTGACGCTGCGCGTGTCCTCGCCCTCGCCCTCCCCGCACACGGACTGCCCGCCGTGCTTGTCTGAACCGGACAAAACCAACATTACGGAACAACACTTTAAAGACCATTGACCTATAGATAGACGTTGGATAGGGCTCGATAAATATAAAATCTTAAGTTACAAAAGGCAAAAAAAAAAGAAAATATCACAACCTATAACCTATACAGAGAAATAGAGGTCAGTGGTTAAATCTGTACTTTCTTATATATCTATAATGGATACAGTATCAACTCTATTGGAACTACGTGAAAAGAGGTGATAAATAAATGAAGACCAAACAGTTTATATCCCTCTCTACTTTAGCCTGCTATAGTCAACACTCAGAGTAATTTAATAACCACACTTATTGATAATCTACTAAGAGATTCCTACTTATGTTTCTAACGGTCGAATACTCAAACGAAATTTAAATCGCTTCATAAGCACCTAACAGATGTCAAAACCTGAATGTAATTTAGAATTTTAGCGTGACTTTATAAATTAAAATATTCAATGTCGTTTCAGTATACGCCCGAGTGCGATAATAGCTTTTATATATATTTTTTTTATATTACAAGATGGCAAACGAGCAAGCGGCCACTTGAATCCACCGAAATGGAAAGCGACAGCTGCCCATAAACATCCGCAATTGCAGATACGTTTGCCTACCCTTGGAGGAGACGCACATAAAAAGGAAATTTCCCATCCCTATACGTCTCCTCCACCGTCAAATCCACTTTTCCTTCCCATCCTTTCCTCTTAAGAAAAGGGTGGAAAGTAAAAGGGCCTCTAGTGTAGGTACTATTAAAACTTTATTCACAAAAGC